AGGAATGCTGATTCCACGTTCTTCGGGTGATAAGCTGACTTACGGGTCCTGGTCAGAGATTTGCCCGTCGGGTTTCAAGCTCCGTGGCCTTAATTTCTTCAGGTATACTCATGCTTTGCCGTCAACCTAAGCATTTACCTGTCTGATTCTTGAACAAGAGCTCTAAACCCGACCTGCAAATTCTGGCTTTTCAATTATGCTCAAATGGGTTTGGACCGACATTTGGATCGAACATTACAATAACTCAAAGATAAACTAAGAAAAAAAGACGGTATGTATCACTTCAAAACATTGCATGTATGTCCTGAACCTGAACCGATGATTTCAGAGACAAACAGAAGAATCCTGCACCGAAATGCAGCCCTTACACACCGATAGGGGTCGATCTATTCGCGTGTTCTAAGAAGATAAGCCACATTGCTCAGCACTTGGAGCTTCCGAACGTGAAGCCACGTGGCGAGATGCCATCCCTTCTGATCGTCAACATTCAGCTCCCTATGTATCCGACCTCCATGTTCGGCGATAACAATGGCGATGGCCTGAGCCTTGTCTTGTACTTTAAGCTGTCTGAAAGTTATGATAAGGAGATTTCTTCTCACTTTCAAGAAACTATCAAGGTAAATTGCCGTTCCCCCCCCCCTTCTTTCACCGTTTTCTTTTCTGGTTGTCCCCAAGGTCTTCATGCTCCATTCCTTGTTCTACCTTTTGTTGCAGAGATTCATGGATGACGAGACGGAAAAGATTAAAGGGTTTACAAAGGAATCCACAGTTCCGTACAGAGAGAGGCTTAAGATCATGGCGGGTCTGGTGAATCCTGATGATCTTCAGCTCGGTTCTACTGAAAGGAAGCTCATTTCTGCTTACAACGACAAACCCGTCCTCTCTCGTCCCCAACACGAATTCTTTACGGTAAAAAAGAAATCTCCTTTTGCATTAATGAATCCATCAGATTCATATCCAGAGAGTTCCAACTAAACAGAGGAACGTTGTTCTTCCGGACAGGGGCCGGATTACTTTGAGATCGACTTGGATATACACCGTTTCAGTTACATTGCGAGGAAAGGGCTCGAATCTTTCAGAGACCGGATGAAACATGGGATTCTTGATCTGGGTTTAACAATTCAGGTGCAAATCTTTTACCGAATTCTTGGATTGTTGCTCAAGAAACACGTTTCCTGAAAGATCTGGTGATGTTCCCATTTTCTGACAGGCCCAGAAGCCAGAGGAACTGCCTGAGCAAGTACTATGCTGTGTTCGGTTGAACAGGATTGATTTCGTGAATCACGGACAAATACCAACGCTTATGAGCAACCACCAGTGATGGGGTTCTGGTCGGGATACAGAGGATGTCACATGGATAACAATGGCGGCAACAGACCACACAGAGATCTGCATTGTAAAATGGTGTGACCGGGAATAAATTGATACTTACGAAAAGATTCTTTTGTACAGAAAACTCTGCCCAAACGCATCTCCATCTTGAATCAAGACTGAAACTTTTTCAGATTGGTGGTTTCAATATATAATCCAGAGACATGAATGAATACAGAGGAATGCAGAAAGATACCCAAATCAGCTAACTGTATACCAAAAACAGTATAGAATTACAATATAAACATCGTTCCTAATCTCCGAAACAAACACAAAGAACCCTGTATTCTCCATGTACAAAAGAATTCACAGAAGAAAACATGAATCTAGGTATGCATAAGAGCATCCCCTTCCGAACCCATATCGAGTTTTCGTCTTTTTTCTACTTTTCCCCTCCATTTGTAACTTCCAGATTCTTCAAGAGATCCAACCGAAAGATTCAAAAGTCACAGGCTTTGTCAAAGAAAGTGTTACAACAGATGCATGAGCTGCAGCAGGAACAAGCAAGCCCCCTTAAGTTATTTGCTCTTCTTTCAGCCTAAGACGTGCAACGGGCTGCTGACTTAGGTTGACAGAGGCATGCAAGTTGTCTGGCCTTAACTGTGCAGTGGCATGGCTGCTGGTTCGGGCAGCAGGAACATCATGGTTGTGTTTTCCCTCGTACGTTGTTATTACAGCTTTCGAGTCTGTTGCTGCCCTTTCTACGTGTTTCCTCACGTTGCAGCCTGGTGTCGTGCACTTGTAATAGCTCCTACAGATCGAAGAGAAAAAAAAGACCAGCGAGTTCATAAGCTTTGCCCGAAGAATCTAGTCGCCAGACCAGTAAAAGTAACAGCAAGATGTGATACTGAAGCAAGATATATATAGTTATGTGACGAAAGAGAGGAGTGTTGTATTACCTTGGATAAGGATTTCCTTTGACGACTTTCTGCCCGTACTTGCGCCACCTATATCCGTCATCTAAAAGGTCAACTTCACTCGTCGTTTGGACAATGATTCTAGGTTCTGTCACAGTTCTGTGTGAAGCAGCAGTTTCAGAAACCACGACTTCTGTGTTTCTGCACATTCAAACACAACCCCCATTAGAGACCAAGCTTTTAAGAATGGACGGCAACCCACGAATTTTTCATCATCATCATCTAGTGTTACCTTCTTTTGGGATCAGGTTCGTCTTCATCTTTTTCCTCCGCACAATTTTCTGCATTACCGACTTCCTCACTGTCGCTTGCCTCAGATATCTGCTCTGTTGTTGTAGCCTGACTTGCTTCCTGGTCCCTCCTGGTCTTGCTGAAGCTTCTGGCTTGATCCGAATTCCCGGGATTGTTTACCGTAATCCCGTTTATATCCCGGTTGCCCCGTTTGTTGTTCTGAGGAGGTTGATGATTGTGCTGACCCTTGTAGATGATTTCGGTTACTTGTCCGTCAAGAGACCTCTCGACCTTTTTCTTGACAGGACACCCGGGATGAGTACACTTGTAATAACTCCGAGGAAACTCACTGCCCTTCACTTGCTTCTGCCCGTACTTACGCCAGTTGTAGAGATCATCGGCTGGCTTGTCAGCAGCATTCAGCGGCTGT